CCAGCCATCAAGAATTGGGATTTCCCAAGATGGAAGTAGCATCTGGATTATTGTGTTCAGACCTCTCCTCTGTGAATTTACCTAATCCATTTGTGAATACATTTAGACTTTGAGCCTTAATATCCTGTAGTGGTAAACAGCAGAATTCAATTTTATGCTTGTAAAGGGGGGAAAACGTAGTTTGTTTCAAGCCTACTCATTTCATGGGCTCTGTCCTGGTTTTTGTGTTGGGAGAGTGCCTACTACATAGTCACTTTTCCTGTAACAGGTGTGACTTTTCCTATTAGGCCTCAAATGACTCTTTCCTCTCAAGAAGTTCTAGTCAATTTATCTGTCCCTTGTCCATATGGAGATTTCATATCTCTGATCATCCTCAGGATCTCTTGGGATGCTCTTTCCAATTGGGTCCCCTCATTTCTGGGGTGAAGAGTCAGAACTGCATGGTACATTCAACCTCTGGAGGAGCCATGGATCACTGAAGAGGAGTCATGGCGATTTCTGCTTTTCCTCAAGGAAAAACAAAAGCCAGGAGTTCTCCTTTAGCTATCACCAGCAGTGGGAGACAGGCAGGACAGCTCCCTGAGCATGGGTCTGTGATCCTCAGCAAACTTGGTCATCTCTAGCTTCCTTGGGAGCTGGGGCACTGTGCCTTTCCTCTGCTTACCAGACCACATACTCTTGGGGGTTGATGAGGAGTGAGAGAATATATTCTCTTCCATGTTTCTGTGGCTTAAGGAGGACTGTTAATATCTAGCTTAAAGGGTACATTTTACAAGGTGATTTATAGGAGCAATAAGCTTCTTTCCCCCCACCCCCGTGTTTTCATGCACAAAGTTGGCAAGAGCTGCAATCCTTTACACTGTTACTATAACAGCAAAATATTCACTCTCAGCCTTGGAGCTTTGCTTGAAATAGTCTTTCCTTTTAATTTGTTTTTCAGAAAGACATTTAAAATCTGATGAATAAAACACCAGCAGGTTTCTCCCTGGTTGAAGTGAAGAATACCAGACCCAAGAGAAAAGCAAAGGGAGGAAATCCAGGTCTCTCTCCTCTGTGTGCAGTCAAGGTGTGGGGAAGTCGATTCCACTGCTCACGTGCTGTGATGAGAGGGAACGATGGGATGGGCAATTCTGAGGGAACTTTCCACATCGACACACAGTCACGCCCCAGCATCATGTTGTGAATGAAGGACGTTCCAGCACTGGGCAGTGGCAAGCCGTGCCCTGCCCTAAGAGCTCTTTAAAGGCCATTTCCCTGAGGTTAGAACGGATACATCAGCATCAGCGATGTCCAAGTGGATCCCTTCAGGAGACAGCCTGGGAGCTGCCCTAAGGCTGTGGAAAGGCCTGTCAGCTAAGCCTGCCTGTGTTCACAAGGGGAGCCTGTTTTCCTGCGTTGATGATGTGGCATGATCAGCAAGACAGACAGAGCCAGGACGCTCTGTGAGGTGCCTGGATAGACGAAGCCTTGTTGATGCAGTCTATCGCTGCAGTTCTTTGCACAGCCAGACTGCAGCAGCTGTTTGACTTGGACAGGAGCACTGTGCCTGTGTGAGATTTGTTCAGCCCACTAGCTGCACTCTGCTGCTCCTTCATGACCAAAGAGGGCCACCTGAGGTGCTGGCTGGAGGAAGAACACGCTGCAGAGGTTCCTTTACCCTGTGTCAGCTGTTCCTTCTTGCTGTGCCTCTGTCTCTGCATGTGCAGAAATGTTTTCTCCTGCCTCCTGTGCTCAGAATATGCTGGGCACTGGGTCACCTGGAGATGGATGATGCCTATCAGTGTCTTTCCACATGCACTCCCCAAATGTTTGCGCAGGAGTAATGAAATTACTTTCGGTGTCGTATGCCTGTTTGGCCCCAGGCATGTAGTGGTACCCTTTGGAGGAAGGCCTGTGCTTGCATTCCAACCAGTGGAAAGGACATAGGCATGGCAGAATAATTTTTTTGTGCAAATTTGTGAAAGCCTGATGTAGGGCTCTTTTATGGGGGAGAGAACCTAGAGGATATCTTCTGAAGTCAGCAGAATCAGCAGCCACCCAAGCAAGGCAGAAGAGAATGTGACTGAGCCCTTAGCCTTCTGCCAGGGAGCTTGGGGAGCTGGTGTTGGGAAGGTAGCTTTCCAAAAGGAAGATCAAGCAGTGCCTGCAGCCCTCAGCAAAGTGATTCTGCCACTCTACCCTGAGGAAAAAGCTGCATGACATGTACTTTACTTCTTATAAAGATGTGCCTTTATACACCTACAGAACAGTAGGCTTGTAAGAGTTAAGCCTCTCCTGGGATGATGTGACAATCCCCATCTGGCTTGGCAGGAATTAGCAACATCTGTCAGTGACCTTATCAACAGCTAGGTGTTACTGGGCCCTGCATCCCAACCAGAGCTCCTAAGGGCTTGCAAGGGGCCTATCTTCCTCTCTGAAATCTTTCTCTCATCACGTTTTAGGAATCAAAGAGGCCAGCTATTGCCATCTTGAATCTCATTTCTTATGACTTAGTGATGAAAGGAGAGAATTTCAATGATTTTTTTTTGGTGGGAGAGAGGTCAGGAAAGGTAAGGAAGACATTAGGGGAATAGACAGTCCAGGGTCAGCTCAGCCATGACATGAGGCGGTCTGTAAAAGCTCATCCTCCTCTGTTCACATGCCATCCGATAACCACAGACGGTGAGTAGTAATTTTAGACACTGAGCTCATTTGGGAGTGCCAAGAACATGTGGTTCCACTGCCAGCTTACTGCTCTTTCAGTGCAGAAGGCACACAGCTCTCCCTTTGATTTCAGATCTTGGCCCTCACTGCAGCATATAAGGCTTCTTGAAACGCTCAACCGAACTAGTTTGATTTAGTGGTATTATGGCATAGGGGGAGTATAAGCCTGGAAGGATTTGCTTGTGTAAGTGCAGCCCCCTGCTGTCAAGGACACTGTGTCACAGAACGTCTCTTGCAAACAGATCATGCTCTGTTTTAAAACCAGCTGGGCTGTGTGCTTCTGCGAGCGCTGCAGAGGATCGCACCAGACCCACGCTTCTTACTCTTGGGTGGTCAGCAACTTCCTTTCTAGACTCAGTTTTTTCAGGCCCGTTGGTCCTGTGTTAGCGTGTTCCTTAGCTTCGATTTCTTCTCCCCCTGGAGTCTGTGTGCTCCAGGTATTTTAAAGAGGAGTTACATGGCCTCTTACTGATAGCGAAAGTGAGATAGGCAGAACAATTGCTGGGCACTGCCCAGTAGGCAGTGCTCTACCCGCTACAAGGGAGCCCAAAGACAGGGTTACTGTTCCGTTTAACAGACTGACAGCCCAGTCTCATTTATGTTAAAATGCCTTTGTACAGTGCTTTGGCATTACCATTGTCTTACCAATGTAAAAGAGTTTTAGGGTAAATAAGCTCCATGTTTCCTTTAATAACTAGCAGGGATTCCTGCTTGCCCAGGAAGCAATACAGCAAATTGTGTTACTAACAAAAGATTGAAACCACAGGAGGAAAGGAAGGTGGTTTGAGGCAGGATGCAGATTCCCTTGTTCAGCTGGGATACTCCTAACTGTATGGACAGCTTGCTCCCTGCACATGTTAGGTTTCTGTAGGGAA